CGGGTGAATTGTTCCTCGACTGAGCTCCATTGGAGAGCTCTAGAAGTTTCGTGTGAGAGAGGAGAAGAAGACTGATCTTAGAGATGAGGAAATGAACCTCTACTTTGTATTGCTATGTAACAGTGTATATATACACACGAGTTCAGGACAAAAAATTAACTAATTCTAACTGACAGTTAAGCTAATTCTAACTGACAGCTAAACCGGCCACTAATTAATGCTAACCAACACTAACTAGCTGTACAATACTAACAGTTAAAGGTACAACGTATAAAAGCTGTTAAATACATCTCAATACTTCGTAACCTACGGAAAATCACCACTCCGAACATCCTGTGTTCACATCCTTGTATAGCTAGAAACTAAATATGAATGGACTGCAGAAGACAAAGACTTGGAAGTAGGAAACGCTTAATTAATTTTACCACTTTCAGTTTAATTTTGAGAGTTACTGTGTGTAAACACCTTAAATAGGGGAATAGAACTTTCTGATCTTTCATTATATATATATATAGATAGATAGATTTTCAAATGGAAGATTGTGCATTGTTGGGCAGGTGGTTCAATATTCCAGAATCTGGACAGAAGGTATTGAATGACAAAATCGCCCACTGACGGAATGACAAATTGCCTACAGGAAGAGGGCAAAAAAACTTTGAAAAAGAATAGATCCGATATTAGATCGGGGAATTGAACCCGACGTGAATCGAACACGCAACCTTCTGATCTGGAGTCAGACGCGCTACCATTGCGCCACGGATCCTGCTGGTACATAGCACGCAGCTGAAAATTTACTTTAACGTTAAAGTCATATTTATAAATACAAAAATCACGTCTTAATTGCTTTCCAAATTTTTATTTTCCTAAATTTTCTCGCTTTTGTTTCACGAAGTCCTGTTAATGCGTTGTTCTTTCAACTTGTCTTTTTCTTCTATTTCTGAAAAAAAAATAAAAAATAGTGAATCGGATAAATGAAATATCCAAGTGAGATAATTTTTACTTTTCTAGAAAAAGGAGGAGGAGGGGGAGGAATTACAACACTTCACAAGATATCTACGTTAAAATTTCCACTATACGTGGTTTACATTCCACGTGTCATCATTCTACATCATGCACAGGTCCTACAAATTGTCAAACAAAAATCTAATGGCATGCAAACATTCAGAAAATACACTTCCAACAAACATTTGCAAACATTTTTCTCAAATAAGCAGAGGAAAAAAATTCATTACATTTGTTTAATGTATTAAACGTACGTTCGATTCACCGAGTAGTCTCAACTCGGTGTCGGTGGCAAAACAATGGAGAAAGCAACACCCGTACGGAATTCCCATACCTCCACGGCGGATTTGCTGACGTGGCCGGAGGTTCCGCCGCGGTCGTCCCGCCAATGCATCTCGTTCTCGCCGTGTATGTTTTCATTTTCCATCAAATGTCTGTCCGACATTGAATTATGTGACTATCTCGTGTGAAAGTATGTTTACGTTTAATTATTTAATTATATTATGTTTAGCCTCCTCACATGTTGACAGAAGCAGACGCACATTATAGCTAGGTTGAGGGGTCACCTGCACCCGAAAACTTTTACAAAAATTTAGTGTATACTTTCAAATGTCTTCAAGATAAGAAATAGTCAGATATTTGCATAGGCCCGTACCAATCTTTATGAAAAGTGATAATTTTATATTGAATGCATTTCATGGTGCCCTGTAACTGTCGAATCCTAGGTCCGCCTTTGCATGTCGGCCTCACCTGAACCTAATTCTTTTTCATGGTCACGCATGCACATGCAATTCATTTTTTATAATGGAAGGCGATCAAACTTGAACTCAAGATATCTGTGTGCTCTAATATTACCTTGAAATTTGTGACCATCACTTATAGCATGTTTGGCCAATCTTCTATAATCGGCTTATTTTAAGAAGTGCTTTTCTCAAAAGTACTTTTTAAAAAAGTATTTTTGGTGAGAAGAAGTTTGTGTTTGGCTAATTAATTTAAAAAACACTTTTAAGCACTAATTAGTGTTCGGCCAAGCTTTTGAAAACTTCTTCTAAGTGTATTTTTCTCAAAAGTGTTTCTCAGAAAAGTGCTTTTGAAGAGAAACTATTTTTTTCTGCTTCTCAAAAACTACCTATGCTTCTCCTCAAAAGCACTTTTTTTCCTTCCAAAATTTTGGTCAAACACCTCAATTTTTTGACAAAAGTGCTTTTGACCAAAAAAAAAAGCACTTTTGGCCCAAAAATAAGCTTGGTCAAACGGGCTATTAAGTTGTTAGAGAATAGAGAGTTGCACTTTTAATTACTTAAGGGTTAGTTTTGTCTTTTACCTTTCATTGCAGCCTTCTGACGGAATCAGTAAGGTGTTGTTTGGAGGTCAGATTACTGAGGAGGAAGCTGAGAGCTTGAACAAAAGGTGAGGCAAGAAGAAACAAAATAATATATATGCTTTTTGAATCATTTAATTTTCTTTTAAATTTGGAACTGGAATGAAATGAGCTAGAAATTAGATGAATGAATAAAACGAGGATTTATATAGCATATGCTAGCTATTTTGGAATTAAGGAGTAGTTGATTAATTGACTAGTCGAATCAAAATCCAGAAGGATCTTGATTATGTTTCCGTGTTGTAACTCATGTTTGCAGACAGAGAAGTTTCTATTGTTTTTAAAGGAAATGAAAAACAAAGTAACTGACGATTAGAAAACTTTACGGGTTCAACCTTTAAGGTTTTCAGTATTGAACTCATTATATCCTTAAAGTTATGAGTTCATATCTACAATTGTTGTGATTTCAGTGAAATTTTGCACATAAATGGGTTCAATTGAACCCGTTGCTATAGGGCTACATCCGCCCCCCGACGATGGTCGAAGTTTTGTACGTATAACGTACTCTTACACCTAGCACTAAGCCTGACTGAAACTTGCTATCTTCAGGAAACCTTGTTCAGGGTACAAACTGAACGAGATGAGCGGCAGCAATATATTTTCTGCTGTTGGTGAAACTGTTGCATCAGAATCTGAACCTGTTAATGGTAATGTTAACAACAGGACATCTGTCCGGATCGTTCAGGTACTATTTTCCTCTTCATGGTTAACGTTTCATTTCTATTTCTATAGTCAATGATAGAAGAAATCCCTTTACCATTATGTATAAATGGGCAATTCTATTTGTACAGATCGGGTGGAGGGGCGCATTTAATCCTTGTTTATAAAAATAATAACAGCACTGGACTAGCAGTATGAGCATGCTACATAATTAGGAAATCAGTCAAACTTTGATCAAATTTCCATTCATTTTCTCAACAAAAAAATTTGATCAAATTTTACAATGTCATTGTAGCAAGATGCAAATGGAAAAAACCAGATTTCATTTAGCTCTGAAGAAAAGTTCTCCCCGGAGACGCCTAACACTCTGACTGAAGTGCCAAAGCAGCTTGAGTTGAATGGAATTCAAGAAAGCGAGTCAGATAGCAAAGTGAAGAAGCAGCTTTCACATGCAAAGAGCAAGGAACTTAGTGGAAATGCCATCTTTGGCCCTCCCGTAGAAGTTCCTCCAAGATCATTGGCTGCTGCACGGGCATTAGAGCCGAAACAAAGCAAAGACATCGATGAACCTGCTCCACGATCTGTACGTACATCTGTCAAAATTTCTAATGTAAGTTGCCTTCTGAGACTTGTCAAAGTTGGCATTCTCTTCTTATTTCCCTTTTTATGGCTTTTTAGCTTAGTATGGATCTCATTTCTTTCTTTTCAAGGTAGGGGTAAGGTCTGCGTACTACTTATGGAACTACACTGAGTTTGTTGTCATTGTTGTTGTATGGATCTTATTTCTCTTGTGCATTTTGCAGCCTGCTGGTGGTCGAAGCAATATCTTGTTTGGCAGCGATGAACCTGTTGTGAAGCCAGTAAAGAAAATACATAACAAGAAGTTTGCAGAGTTAACTGGCAATAACATTTTCAAGGGAGATCACAACAGTCCTCCTGGATCTTCAGAAAAGCCACTGAGCAGCGCTAAACTGAGAGAAATGAGTGGTAGCAATATATTCGCCGAAGGTAAAGTTGAATCCAGAGTTTGCTATGGTGGTGTACGCAAACCACCGGGTGGAGACAGCAGCATCAGATTGTTTTAAGTAAATAAATCACATCAAACTGCTTCTTATGTTAACATGTAAATGAACACACTTCGGCTGCTTCTGGCTAGTAAGGCTTTCTCTTGTTCAATGTGGTTTAGGAATGAGGATTGTAAATTTTGATGTGTCAATCATGTCATATGAATAATATTAACACCCCTAATTTGATTAAAAATACAGCACTATTATCCTACTGGAGTACTTTTCTGGATGATGCTCATTATATTTCTTTGACAGGTGCTATGTCTACAGTTATGTTTTCTTTTTCCTGATTAGTAAGGCATATGAGCAACAACCAGTTTGAGTTATTATATTGTCTTGAAAATATTCAGCACTAAAAGTCATTTCGGAAGGTGCAAGTAGCACACACAGAGGATAAAGATGATCTGGACATGTCTTACGTCGACCTTCAGATGCACTGGTTCGTCGGTGTCAAACCATGGGGAGGGGATTTGTTAAAAGGGAACGATGTAGACCTAAATTCACATGGAACAAAGTTGTCTCGAAAGACATACAATCTCTTTGAATTCATGAAGATGTAGTGAAAAATACGACATAATGAAAGAAAAAGATTTATATAGGCGATACCAATTGGTTGGGATTAAGTTGTTAGTATGTTTTTTTACTTTAGGTCCTATGATTTCTACGAGTATTCTAGTCATGTTAGAGATTTACATGCTAATAGAAAATATAAGAACTTCTTGTGTTCTTTTTTTCCTAATTTTATTTTATATAATATTGGATCACGATGAGTTTAAATAGAGTAACATGGAATGCGAGGATCCATATGGTCGATCCAAATTTTTGGGATTGAGGCGCTGTTATTGTTTTTAGTCTGTGAAAGATTCATGGAAAGGTGAAAATGACCACACTGGACTATTAAGTCTATATAACACAAGAAACTCTGTGGGATACAGTACCACACATTCTTGGAGCAAACACAAACTGCAAAATTTAGGAAACATTTCTCATATCCTACAACATACTTGTCATGATTCAAAGATCTCCATGCCCAATCAATGCTAAAAGCATTCTTTCATAGTCTCCTGAAGTGTCATCAGAAATCGCACGGTCCAGAGGCATGTTGTTCCTCTGGTAATATCTTTCTTTAATGAGCTCCATATCGACTTCAGCCCGAGTTGCAACAACTCTAGTAAGAGACTCTTCATCTGTGCCCAGCCCCTTCATCGCCAATCGAAGAACTTTCTCAAAGTACTTCTCAGGTTCTGTCAAACACTTTATTGCTGATCTGAGTAATTTCAAGTATGCATCCTTTGGATTGGATTTTAGATCCTGCATATTCCCAATGAAGGATCAAATAAACTTCCGAGGAAGTTTAGTCAAACCTCTTTATAACAACCTCGTTTGTTCCAATATCTTTTTGCTGTTATAGTGAAGTGTTGTTATAGACGATATATATTATAATATAATATAAAAATTGGTTTCAAGAAAAACTTTGCTTTTATAGTGAATGACTCTTATATAGGGATGCTGTTATAGAGAGGTTTGACCGTAAATCTTTTGGACAATGGATGTAAAAGCTACACGGTTTAAGTAAAGCAAATTGCAGTATGAGATTTTACTTGAGTTTGGGACTCTACCTTATTGATGGCATTGCCAAATTGATCATTGTACTGGTTAAATGTTGCATTGAGCTGTGTTTTACTCCGAATCGAAAGAATTCTAATGAGTTCCTCATCATTATAAGCATTGTCAGAGATCTTCTCATGTAGTATCTTTGCCTCATTACTTGCCAATGCCATGTTCACCTCATCTCCCTCATATCTGAATGCAGTTACAAGAGGAACCAAAAGCTGTTTGGGAATTAGTTTACCTAAGATAACCAGCTCAAGAATTTGTCAAGGTAACCCATATTTGTTTCTCTGACTCAACCACAAATCTATTGAATGAAGGTAGCTTGTTTACTCTTAGACATTAGTTAGACAAAAATCCCTTGACTTCGCTTATGCCATTATTTATGAAAGCAAATGAAAGTACAGCAACAACAACAATAATAAATATAGTGGGATCTAGGGAGGGTAGTGTGTACGCATACCTTACCCCTACCTTGTGTGGAGATAGAGAGGTTGTTTCCATTAAACCCTCTGCTCAGGAAAGCATAAGCACCACACTAATGAAAAGAAAAACAAGAAGGGTGAAAGTAAACGAAAGTACCTTACGAAAATCCCCAGTCGAGTGATCAGAAACATCTTCCTCAAGCGATTTCTTGTAACAAGCGTGGTAGGTCTGTCTTACTTTAAACAGATCATCGGAAGGCCTGGCACAAGCAATTTCCATGATAATGCAGTTGCTATCAGGTAGACGTTTGGTAGCCTCGTTAGCCAAGCATGCATCGCGCTCAGATGGATCCATAGTCCACAAATGCACAACGCCCTGTAATGCCATTTGGATTGCATTATAAGCAGAGGCAGAATTGAAGACCAGGGGATTCAAGAAAATGCTAAAAGAATGCCACATCTGGAAGTCGAACCAACAACAACTACGTCTCAGTCTCAAACAAATTAGGGCCAGTTATATGAATTCTAAGTGACCACGTTACTCCATTTAAATCATCTCATGTCAATATATGAAAGTCGAATCCATGACTTAAAATTCTTATGACTCCGTTTGTTACTGCACTAGAAGCTTCTCTTGTGTTAATGAGATTTAACATCCAATTTGTATACATAAAAAAGATTTTCGTCTATACACTACAGTACTACAATTTTCTGGGCAAAAGGAGATTCAATTGACCACTCTTGGACCAATGTGGCTCCGNGGTTCCACCATTCATCGTAAAGCAATATTAGACTTTGGTTTGTTTGAGAATAAAAATGTGTTTGTATCTTAGTGCTGTTGAATATATTTAATAAAATTCTAACACTTATTTGAAAAATGTGCTTGTGTTATAAGTAATTAATCCAAGATGCTAGAAATGTACAAATGAAAGAATGAACAGGCAAAGCAGGTCTCTAATATTTTGCATGCTGGTATGGATCAGAAAATAGGCCATCCAATTACAAACTAAATTTTTCGCTTTTAGCCCGTGCCAGAAATTATTTACGTTCGGTAGCTGAAAAATTGTATATAATTTGTATAATGTTTGTCTATAATATACCGAATGTATATATATACACAAAATATACAAAAAAATTCGATTATTATTTTAAGAGCGGCTATACACTTTCAGAAGGAAAACCTGAACCTAACCTGAAAGTCACCTGATATTTCACCATCTAAGTCCTTGAGAAGATCCTTTTCATAAGTAGTTTGATAAGTTTCTCGGATTAACTTGCGTTGTGCTGCATTTCTATGACCCAAGATCTGAATAATACGCGCTTCATCTGTTCCCAATCCTACAAATGTTTGATTAAGAAACCACACAATCAAAGGCGGATGTNATATATATATGTACGTATGTATGTATGTATGTATGTATATGTATGCAAAAAATCACTAAATTTTTTACATAGTTTAATTAATTAATCAAGCTGGTAAAAAGAGAGAGACCTACAAAAGCTTTTCTGAGTTGTTGAGAATCCTCAGCTGCAGAAGGAACCAATTCTGGAATTTTGAGACTTGCCATTTTTTTCTCTTCTCTCAATGTTGAGAATATATGTTTCTTCCTACTTGATGATCTGTGATCTGTAATTACTTCATCACTTGTATATGTATTATTATTGAATGACCTTTGAAATTGAATCCGATATAAAAGGAAAGACTATTCAGACAATGTGGATTATGAAAACGTTACATCAATCTAATTAAGCTAATCGGGATCGGTCATATAAATCTTTAATATACATTTTTGCATACTTGTAAATTTCTGATTTAAAATTGCTCAGAATTATATTCTTTTAACAATTAAAATAGTATTATTAAGAACATAAAAAAAAAATTATTGACAAGTGTTATATATCTTCTCTCGTCATGAACCCTTAAGTTCTATTGATTTTACTTAAGGATTTGTAAATTGTATTTCTTGTAGAGATTTCATCAACAGTTCTAGTAGAATTTGTCAATTTAGAAATCAATCAGTGGGGAAAATTAGAATTACTATAATAATTATCATTCTTTGATAACCGGATGAATAAACACAGGTAAGTTTTTACCATTTCAAAGTAGCATAATGCACTCAATATTTACACAACTATATATGTTACTAGATTTGTTGTCTATAATAAAGATATGATGGCGATAAAAAAAATGGAGGGTTAATTTCACGTAAAATCATTGAAATTTATCAATTGTAATAGTAAAGATACAATATTATTTTTTGGTCATAGTAACGTCATTGAACTTTACCACTATAATACTTAAAGATATAAAACTATCTTTTGTCACATTAAATACTAAAAATTTTATCTATTATAACAGTAAAATCATAAAATTTTACCCATTATAATCGTAAAGTCACCTTTGATGAGTATGTCTTGTCGTTATAATGAGCAGAATTTAGTGATTTTACTACTATGGTATATATACTTTAACGTGACACAATATAATTTTGTGACTTTACGATAACTATGGATAAATTTTACATTTTACTATTATTGCTAATAAAATTCTATTACTTCTAAAAATAATTTTGTGATTTGACTGTTACAATAAATAAAATTCTAACAAGCATACGTGAAATTAAAGCATGCACAAAGAGTGGGGTCAAAGGAAAGTGTGGCATGGATTATGGAAGTGTCGAGTTTACATATATTTAATTTTATACTACAGTCAAATTTCTCTATAACAATCTCGTTTGTTTCGAATTTTTTTTGGCTGCTATAGTAAAGTGTTGTTATAGAAAATATATATTATAACATAATATAATATTCGGTTCCGAGAAAAACTCAGTTTTATATTAAATGTTGTTATAGAGATGTCTAATTGTATATACGAAGGTTTAGTAAATTTTCAATACGTCGCCGAAGCAATAAGCAACCTACTGTGTAATAAAATATCCCATCGAATAACAATTTTTTTTATAACATTTTTTGCAAGCTAATACGTTTGAAAGGAATCAGATCTTCTTTTTTTTTTTTTTAGTATTTCATTTTTTTTGTAACCGGTATTTCGTTTTTATTACACATTACACTTTTCACATTGTTGCGTTAGCTACATTTTCAAGAAGTTTTTATTTCCTTTTTATTTTAGGAATTTTTTACCATTTGAAAATTCTCCTAAGAAGAGGAGGGAAAGGGCAAAAAATACAGCTGCGGAGTTAAAAAACAATTATTCGACTCTGCTGGGGATCGAACCCAGAATCTCTGGTTTCGTAGACCAGCGCCTTATCCATTGGGCCACAGAGTCCTTGTTGTTGAGAAGGGAATTAATAAACTATAATTAATAGTTATTCCATTGGGTCACAGAGTCGTTTCTCTTTATTTTATAGTGTTTTGTTTGATAAGAACGTATAATTTAAATGGAATCCAAAAAATTAGACGCTTTTCAAATTTAATTGAAAGATTCCTTCCTAATTTATGAGTTATGGCTAAAGAAAAGTCTTTTACTATTCTAGAAGACTCAACCAAAAGTTCGGTCAATTTCAAAGTCATCTTCACAAAACGACATCGTAAATCGACTCAGTTACGCCATAGCCAACCAGCAATAGAAAGCTTTACACAAAAGCCTTCACCATTTCTAATTGGCTTTTCGATAACAGCAATTATTGAAGGATCCGAATAGAAACAGCCCGATTCGTGTCCAAATTTCGGGTCGACCCGTTATGGCTGTTACAGTATCCAAAGCAGCTCCGAAAGAAAACTCCGAGAACCCGACGACGGCCAAAACCGGTGGTAAAGTGTGGTTTTATTCCCTGCTTCTCACCCTACAGTACGGTGCTCAGCCCCTCATCTCCAAGAGCTTTGTCAGGTTCAAATTACTCCCCTTTCACTTTAATTTTATTTAGTTCTTAGTGGTTTTTGTGTAGAATGCAATTCAGTTATTTGAACATGTTAATGTGTATTTAAATTCAAATGTGAAGTGTGTGAGGTGTAACTTATTATCTATGATATAGTTGTGCTTGATTAGTGACCGGAGACAGATCCATGATTTGAACTTTATGAGTCCGGGATGCACCATTTGTGTTATTAGGATCAAAATTTAATATTTCTACATATTTAGTAAATTTCTCAACACATATATTGAGTCTGGGCCAAAGCTACTCGTAACTTATATGGTGCATCCGCCTTGACTGTAAGCATTATATGTTTGCTACCCGTAACTTATATGGTGCATCCGCCTTGACTGTAAGCATTATATGTTTGCTACCCGTAACTTATATGGTACATCCGCCTTGACTGTAAGCATTATATGTTTGCGAACTTAAGAAAACATATGAAAAATTTGGGATAAAGGTATGGTGTTGTTGTTAGTATTGTTGTTAAACATTCATAAAAAGGGGAACAACACCTACACCGGATTAATTTTACTTAATTTTCGCGATTTGAAGGCATGGATGTATATGTCACAAGTGAGTGTCTAAGTGGTGAGGGTGTGTTCTCGATTTAAAATATAGAATTGGTGTTTGTTTTGCATCCTTGGCAAAATTATTCATTGTTTAAGGAAAGGCATTGAAAGTTTTCAGAGAAAGGTATAATGCAATTGTCAATAAGGGCTTACCCTGTGCATGAAGTTCTTTTTGGACTCCTGGCTAATGTATGGGAGGGGGGAGGGGGAAAGTGTGTATATGGTATGCCGCATATCGAACACATAACCAAGTTGCTAAAGGAGTAATGCTAACGTTTCGCCGGGGCTCTTCCTCATATTATGCTAGCATCTAGTATTCGAGTTTATTGGATGGTCATCACCATTAGAAATTTCAAATTGGATAGTTGCGGAATCTTATTATCCAAACTCTTCTTATTGATGTTTAGTATGAGAATATAGCAAACTTATAAGTTTAGTTACAAGGTTTTTAAAAGTTTAAGAATTGCTGGTTGCAAAGAAAGGTCCGTTGGAGGACATCTTCCAATTTCTTTAGCTAGAACACTCTTTAATGGACCCACCAATTTTGTATTTGATTCCTATGACTGTAAGTACCACAAAGAGGTTCCCATTTAACAGTGGCAGAAGATAACATTATCCATGAGGAATTGGGACCAGGAATTATCGTTTTCAATCCATTTTTTGGTAAACGGCTATGGAGATTCATGTCACGAGAAGAATGCATTTTGGAGAAGGATATTTCTAATAAATATGGAGTGAGATAAAGGATGGTACCTTGGGAAAAGGGCTAAGTCTTTGAAAATCTGTGGAATGGAACTTTGAAGGATAGGGAGAGATTCTCTAGATGTATAGGTTATGCATTGGGCAACGACAATGGCAACAATGGTAGAATTAGCAAACAATGGAAATCCCATAGAAAATAAAAATGGAGGAAGAAGAGATTAAAAAAATAGGACTCCTAAGGGTGCGGCCTAGTGATTAATGAAGTGGGAGCAGAAACATGAGGTCTCACGTTCAAATCTCATCGGAGACAAAAAACATTAGGTGATTTCTTCCCTACTGCCAAGCTTTGGCGGGCAGAGTTACCTGGTAATTGTGCTGGTATGAGGTAGCAGGTATCCGGCGGAGTTAGTCGAGGTATCTGTGGAATGGAACTTTGAAGGATAAGGAGAGATTCTCTAGATGTATAGGTTATATAGTGGGCACCGACAATGGTAACAATGGTAGAATTAGCAAACAAGGAAAATCCTATAGAAAATAAAAATGGAGGAAGAAGAGTAAAAAATAAATAGGACTCCTAAGGGTGCGGCGTAGTGATTAATGAAGTGGGAGGAGAAACATGAGGTCTCACGTTCAAATCTCATCGGGAACAAAAAACATTAGGTGATTTCTTCCCAATTGCCAAGCTTTGGCGGGCAGAGTTACCTGGTAATTGTGCTGGTATGAGGTAGCAGGTATCCGGTGGAGTTAGTCGAGATGCACGCAAGCTGGCCCGAACACCACCATTATAATAGAAAAGAAGAAATTAAGATCTAGAAACCAAATTGATGGTCTTAGACACAAGTAGCATATAACACTAGTTACATCCTAATTACCTAACTAATGTCCCAAAGATATCGAAGATATGGGAGTAGATTAAGAAGATATCCACCTTCAATGTTAATTCAAGGAGTTCTTCGAGAACCCAAAAGGTCTTCATGGAGCCTTACATAAACATTAATCCAAAACTGGGTAAAAAACCTATGTTACTCCTATTTATACTACTAGCTAAACGATTGGCTTTGGGCAAGTCCAAATACTCTAGAATAACAAAAAATCCATAACATAATTGAGAGGTTCGCGAGGCATGTGGGACCATGCTTGAATCATCCCGAAAGCTCCAATGGAGGGAGCTCCTTAGCTAGGGGTCCAGTTAGGGATGGTCCACATAAAACCGAACGGTTTGACGAGCAAAACTGTGTGCAAAAATAATACTCCCTCCGTTTTAATTTATGTGAACCTATTTGGACTGGGCACGGAGTTTAAGAAGAAAAAAAAAAAGACTTTTGAACTTGTGGTGTAATAAGGCACAAATATTTTGTGTGGTTATAAATCATTGCATAAAGGCAAATTGTTTTCAAATATGGAAAGGGGTCATCCTTTTTGGCACGGACTTAAAAGGAAATAGGTTCACAATTGAAACGGAAGGAGTATCAAATCAAAGACAAGCACCTATGGATTGACTGGTTTCCACCTTTTTCCTTATTTCCTCATTGTCTTAAAGATGCTTTTTATTATGTCTATTTTGCTACTTTTTACTATCTTGGTATAGGAAATATTATACTTATTCTTTCATATAATTTGTTTGGTGATAAATACTCCTGTATTCCTTGTTAAGATTTATATATTATGACGTCAATGTTTCATGTTCTGTTCTTCCTACAGGCGTGAAGTGATAGTTACTTCGTCTGTTTTGACATGTGAAGTAGTCAAGGTAAATTTCTGTACTTTCTTCTCTGCATTGTTTTCCACTCCATGGTTCCACATGTTTGCTTACATACATTCCTTTTACTTTGCAGGTTATTTGTGCTCTTTTTCTCATGGCAAAAGAAGGCAGTTTGAAGAAAATGTACAGGGAGTGGACCTTATTTGGCTCTTTGACTGCATCTGGACTGCCTGCTGCTATCTATGCACTACAAAACAGCTTATTGCAGATCTCATATAAAAATCTTGATTCACTGACCTTTTCAATCTTGAACCAGACAAAACTGTTCTTCACAGCCTTGTTTACTTACATATTATTGAGGTAGGCTTTGCCGGGTGACTGTGGAAGTTAGTATGTTGATCCAAAATGTTGTTGAAAGTTTTTCTTTATTGATTGTTATCTACTTTGTCTTAGTCCTTGCTTAGAAAAGATTATTGAACAAATGTACCTTTTGGTTACCTTTGGCAACAGTGCGAGTGCGTAGGCTGTTAGTGTCTCAGATCGTACGTACTTAATATGGTAATATTTTATTATTTCGTCATGGATGTCAAACAGATCTATTAAATATTCTTTGTTTTCAACAGAAACTGTTTTTTACATCATTCTCTTTTTCTCATAGAAACTTTTCTTCTGCGTCGTCTGCTCCATTTAGCTGTTAGTTGCAATATTTGTCATTTAAATTAATAATTTTATGGCATTCTGAGGTCTCTGTGTAGACCAACTCTTTTTTAATTTTGATTTCTTAAATAATTTTGAGATGAACTCTCTTGTTAGTTACACTAGTTGTGTATCAGGTGAGTCCTGAGAGCCTTGATTGCCCCCACAAAATCCTTTATCCTTTTTCAGGCAGAAGCAATCCATTCAACAAATTGGGGCTCTTTTCTTGTTAATCCTCGCAGCTGTCCTATTAAGTGTTGGTGAAGGCTCCAGCAAAGCTTCAAATAGTAGTAGTAACCCCGATGAGATCTTATTCTATGGAATTGTACCAGTTTTGGTTGCATCTGTGCTCTCTGGTCTGGCTTCTGCCTTGTGTCAATGGGCATCTCAGGCAAGTGAACACTTTTAATATATGAATGGGTCTTTTGCATTTCCTCCTTTTTGATATGCTTCTTGTCTATTACAGGTTAAGAAACACTCATCTTACCTGATGACTGTTGAGATGTCCATTATTGGGAGTCTTTGTTTGATAAGTAGTACTTCCAAGTCTCCTGATGGAGAAGCTATTCGACAGCACGGATTCTTCTACGGGTGGACTGCCTTAACTTTGGTAAATCAGTTTTGTCAATATACAATTCTTTTTCTATCATGTATGTCATGGGTGCTGGTTAAATTAGTAGTGTAAATACTTAAAACATCCAGAAACAGGAACCGCCTTGAATATTAAGTTTTTTGAGAAAAAACTGTATAGTTTCTATTTGGGGATATCTTATATCAATTTGCCCGATGTTTCGTTGTTGAGGAAAGAAATTGTCCCATGAGTTAGTCATTTACATATTTTTATTTATCAAAATCAAATGACCTGGATTCATTTTCTTTTCCTTTGTTCATTTTGGGAAAGGAATCAGATCTATTTAGGTGAAACTCATGATTTTTATGTGATACTTCAATTTCTTCTGTTCCAGATCCCTGTTGTTTTAAATGCGGTTGGTGGAATTCTTGTGGGTCTCATCACTTCGTATGCTGGTGGTGTAAGGAAGGTAAGTGCCACTGAACTTCTTATGCTTTAGAAGCTGTGCAGAAATTGAATAGGCTTGTAAAAACATTCTTGATATTCTTTGTTATAGTTTGGCGTTTTTTGTTCCTTTCCCTTTGATTGATTTGAAGCATTTGTAGCTCTGGTACATTACTATGCCACTTAAAATGGAGTCCTAGAATATTTTCTATTTTCTAACTCGTAACATATTCTCTTGATAGTTCTTGGTGGAACGAAACAGTTAACCATATGATCTATTTTTAAAAAAAATAAAAAATTGTAATGAGATGAGGCCATATACCTTTCTCGGCTTTTTGGCTAAGATAAAATATAATAAGATGAGGGCATATTAATTTTGTGCTTCCCTTAAAGATTATATCATGCTGTAATTTTTGTAACTGTTCCATTACCATACTTCTCTTGACAACGTTATTTCTTCCTGCTTGTCTTAAATTGCACGCAGGGATTTATCATTGTGTCTGCGCTTCTTGTCACTGCTCTGCTCCAATTTATTTTTGATGGAAAACCTCCTTCGCCATACTGCCTTGTGGCACTTCCATTGGTTATGACTAGCATAAGCATATACCAAAAATACCCATACCGTGTTAAGAAGAAGCAAGTGTGAATCTTGAACATGCCATATTATGAATCAAAGTATATTTGCCAACATTTGGCAAAATGGACAATTGGTTTTAACTTATCTAACAGGAAAAGAGAGTTGACAGCTACTATTTGAGGAGTTCAACTCTGCTGGTAGTTTCCCTAAGAAGGGAAGAAAGGAAGGGTGGTTGTTATTCGTACTCGGTGTTTACATCAAATCAATGAAAGCAAGACAAGTGTTTTCACATTATGCATTTATTATTTAACTGTGATATGTATTTTTCACTTTAATTTTTTAATTATAAGGTTAAATTACTTGTTTTGTGTAAACACGGATACAAACAAATATTTACCAGCATATTTAGCATGACGACTCATTCAAGGAGTCAAATTCTATTATTTGGTTATCAGAAAATATTTTTAAAGAAAATATAATCTATTAATAGGAAAAAATGACTTTAAATTTCTTAAGCAAAATCGTTGTTCTATGCAACTTTTCTCAACTCACTCTATCAATTGCTTCAACCAGCACTTGAGCATTATTAACATTTTTAAATACTTGAAAAATCCATTGAAATACTATCTAATTTGCGAATATTATGATCAATTTTGTTAATAAATAATTTTTCCAAAACTAATTTTCAGAGAAATTACTTATTTTGCAAAAAAGACAGGTATAGTTTTGGTTCTTCAGCTTATGCTAATAGGTAAAGCTTTTTTCCCCCCTCTAAAACAAGAGAATTAACTTTGTGAAAGCTCTTTTTGGGTTCTTGATTGGTACAGTGGTGACCTATGTATCTTGGAATATACAAGTTATGTGTACTTATGCAAGTGTTCTGGTGTTTTATGCTATTTATTTATTTATTTATTGGACGAGGGCAAGTAGCACACGGTTCGAAATTCGATGAATAATGGATTTGTCTTTCAACCCTTCTTCACTTAAATACCAAGGTTTTGTCTGCGATAGGATTCAAACTCGTGTTCCTAACCCACACAACACAAGTTGCACTTTTACCACTAAACTAGAGCCCGACCCATGTTTTATGCTATTTATTAAGTATCGGTTTTGGAAATATGTTGATTTTCTTTGCTTGAGAGCTTTATCTACATGAGCTTCTTTTGTTACACTAGTCTCTCTGAACGTGTATTGCATGTTTATCTTACTTTATTATTATAAAATTCATATTGCAAAATGTTGAATTTTAATTATATGAATATTTTAAGAATTCTTGTTTGAGTTATAAAAGCATGTAAACATATGTATTTGCACATTAATGTTTGTTTTACAATCTTCTCCATTATTGTGATGACCCAAAATGTCATCTTTAAATTTAATAAATAATTCTGTGTTCTAAAACCTCGAAAAGCACCATTTATTATTTCTCGACTTGCATGCGCAGTCCGTACAATTTTTCGAAAAATTTTTATGTGAAAAACGGATAAAAATGTGAAATAGAGCTTTAAAACTCAACTGAGTTGACTTTGGTCAATATTTTGAGCAAACGAACCCGGATCAGTGTTTTGACAATTGCGGTAGGTCTGTATCGTGATTTGGGACTTGGGCGTATGCCCAGAATCGAATTCCGAGGTCCCTAGCCCGAGATATGAAATTTTGATGAAAAATTAAAAGATGAAAGCTTAAAGATTTTTAAGAAATTAGTGATATTGGACTTATTGACACCGGGTCCGTATTTTGGTTCCGGAGCCCGCTATAGGTCTACTATAATATTTATGACTTGTCTGCCGAATTTGGTGAGAATCGGAGTTGATTTGACGAGATTCGGACGTCCGGTTGTAAAAATATAGTTTTAAAGTTTTCTTGAAAATTTTCTTTGATTTGGCGTCCGATTCGTAGTTCTAGGTGTTATTTTGGCGATTTGATCGCGCGAGCAAGTTTGTATGATGTTTTAGGACTTGTGTGCATGTTTTAGGGCTCGGGTGAGTTTCGGATAGGATACAGGATGGTTTTGAACTTAGAAAAAATCTGGTTTTCTGCAACTCCAAGCTTCTGGTATTTCCTTCATCGCGTTCGCGAATGTACTCTCGCGAACGCGAAGAGCAAACTGGGCTGGCTTAAATTTCCTTCTCCGCGAACGTGAAGATTGGGTCGCGAACGCGAAGCTATGGGGACTTTACCCTTCGTGAACACGAAGCTTTAGAGGCCTGGGGGAGGGGTCAGTCGTCCTTCTACGCGAGCGCGAGTACTGGCACGCGAACGCGAAGGCCAGGGGGGGAAAAAGCCTTCGCGAACGCGAAGGAGGACTCGCGAACACGAAAGCCACGGGCTGCTACTCATCACGAACGCGACAGGCCCTTCGCGAACGCGAAGAAGGCCTGACGCCTGTGACTTAAAACAGAACTAAAACGAGATTTTCCCTATATTTTCACAAACCCTCAATTAGAACTCGGTTTAAGGGCGATTTCAAAAGAGTTTTTCACGATTTCGAATTGGGTAAGTGTTCTTTATCATATAGTGATTGTATTTCATGAATCGATGCCTATATTCATCCTTTATTTCGGATTTAGATGGAAGAAATTGGAATTTTTGTAAAACTTTCCAAAAACGAGAAATTTAGATTTGAACGTCCCTTTGACATTGGAATTGGATAATTTTTGTATGGTTGGACTCGTCTCGGAACGAGTGTTTGAATTTCGTAAGTTTTTTCCGAGATTTGAGACGTGGGTCCCACTGTCGAATATTTTAATAAATTTCAGATTTTTATCCGAAAAATTAGTAAATTCATATGGTATTAATTCCTATGATTCGTATTGAATATATCGAATTGTTTGTGAATAGATTTGAAACTTTTGGAGACAAATTTAAAAGGAAAAGTTGTGGTTGAGTAATTGATTGGAATTTGCAAAGCGAGGTAAGTGTCGTAGTTAACCTTGACTTGAGGGAATAGAACCCTTAAACTATTTGTTATGTGAAATGCATGTGAACGACGTATAGCGAGGTGATGAGTGTCTATACGTCGTCAAATTAATTGTTTGCATAATTACTTGAAGAATCATAAATCGTTTTAAATCATGAATTAATTATTATAATAATTATTTCTCTCCTATTCTTTGTCAAATATTAATTCTTGAATTCCTACATTAATTGTTACATGCTATTTGAATTATGTGTCTTAATTGTTATTTGACATTTAGTATATTAAATATTAAACTGCCTATTTTCTCCCTGATTTCCTTAATAATTTGCTATTTGTCATTGTTTGTTTCATAATTTAATTNATATATATATGGGGATCGGGTTGTACGCCGCAACAGATTTGATTAAAATGAATATATTAGAGGAGCGGGTTGCACGCCGCAACAGAATGGAATGTGAATATATTGTGAGAGCGGGTTGCACGCTGCAACGGAAATTGATAAAAATGATAATTGATTATGACTGCTGAGTTGGCTTCAATTATTATAAATGAGTTACTTGATTTATTTCTATTATTTGTTGTTGTTACTAATATTGCGTACAGGTTGATGTAAGTGACCCGCCTTAGCCTCGTCACTACTTCGTCGAGGTTAGGCTCAGACAACTTCCATTTACTTTAGATGTAAGTCCCTGTCTATTTTACTTTAGCTGTGTGTTTATTTTCAGACATCCTTATTTTATTCAGACCTTTATTTGTATTTATTATAGAAGTTCGTGCACTTGTGACACCAATTCTGGGATAGTATTTAGACACCGTTATTTTTATGGATTATTCACTATATTTCAGAATTTACTTCCGCAATTGTTCTTTGTTATTAATAAATTTAAAAATTATTTTAAAAATGGATAATATTATTCTAACTTTGGCTTGCCTAGCAAGTGAAATGTTAGACGCCATCACGGTCCAAATGTGGGAATTTCGGGTCATGACAGTTGGTATCAGAGCACTAGGTTACATAGGTCTCACGAGTCACGAGTAAGCTTAGTAGAGTCTAAAGGATCGGTATAGAGACGTCTGTACTTATCTCTCAGAGGCTATGAAGTTTAGGAATAATATCACTTCTTTCTTATTTTGTCGTGCCATTTTACTCTATCATCAAAAATTGAAACATTCTACTCTTATTCTCTCGCAGATGGTAAGAATACGTAATACCTCTACCGATGGACAGGGACCAACCCCCGGTGGCAACTATGGCCAAAGGTAGAGGTTGAGGCCGAGGTCGTGCTAGAGGCCGAGGCAGAGGCAGAGGCAGAGGTAGAACTCAGTCCAGAGCTCGAGCAGCTGCACCTGTTATAGAACCTCAAGTGGATCTTCAGGAGGAAGTTCCAGTTCAGAATGTACCAGTTGGACCAGTTCAGGTCCCGGAAGGATTCATAGCCATTCCAGTACTTCAGGACGCTCTAGTCCGTTTGGTAAGTCTTATGGAGGGAGTGGCCCAGAATGGTACATTTCCAGTGGCACCAGCCATCTCACAGGCTGGGGGAGGAGCACAAACTCCCATTACTCCTGCTCCGGAGCAGATAGCTCCCCAGAATCGGGCTCCAGCAGTCCTGCCAGTTAGGGTAGTTCAGCCAGTTGTTGCGGCACAGACCGGTGATAGGCCCACCATGTCTTTTGAGGCCTTATTGAGACTGGATAAGTTTACTAAGGTTTTTCCAGTTCACTTCAGTGGTACACATTCTGAGGACCCATAGGATTATCTTGAATGTTGTCACGAGGTGCTGCGAAACATGGGTATAGTTGAGACCAATGGGGTTAATTTTGCTGTATTTCAGATGACGGGTTCTGCC